GACCGCGTCAAACAGAGAGGAACCAAGCCACATCAGCTATTGTCAAATTTAACTGGGCATTTTAATTCTTTACAAGAGAACGTTTGTGTGGATTTCTTTGAAAATGTTAAGGAATTTGCTTCGTACTACAGAGAAAATTCACTGAAATTTGCTCGAGAATCCGCACAACTGTTTTCATGCAAAAAATTAATTTTCCCAATCAAATTTGGCAATAGCTGATGTGGCTTGGTTCCTTTCTGTTTAACGCGGTCCACATTATCTCTCTCATACACAATGAATGTATTAGCGCCTGCACCATCCATTACAGTAAGTAGTTTCTGATAAAAATATAGACAAATATTCACAAATGTGATGTCATGGTACTCGTATTGATGTTGTTTGGCATCAAGGATCAAATCCTTGCATTAATTTCTACATGAAATGATTATTGCCTCTCAAATACATAGATCGTATAGCAGCACAACATAGTGGTGGATCTAGCCCCAAGATCACTCAGTATCAATTCATAAAGTGGGGTGAATTGGAAATATAGCCACAAAATCAGACATCTGGCTGTAAGGCAAATCTTAAATAAGGACGACAAGACATCGAGAGTTTCACTGTCGATGCGTCTATCATCTTCAGCAAACTCAAAAATTGAGACTACCTCGAGACTATTATATATCATACTTTTGTTCATGAGAAGGTAAAGAATTACGAATGAAAAAATTGAGATGCAATAATTACTTACTGCGCGATTTTACTCGGGAGCAAAGAGAAACTTCATGTTGAGAACATATACATTAGACAGGAGAAACTTCACCAGAGATCACATTGTCGCATTCTGGATGAAAATGTTCCAAGGGATCAGTTCATACTTGAGAGGCATGTAACGAAAGAAAGCCCACTACCGAATCAATTAGAAGGTTTTTGTTGCTGATTCCTCAGCAGGAAACTACTTAGACTTTCAGAACATCATACTTAATTAATAGTTAGAACGCTTTCAGTCCGCATTCTAACCTCAAAACACGTACAAACGGGAATCACGATTGAACGAGAAGAAATTCGGAATAAAGATCGGTTGGTGCAAAAAAATGAAGCAAGAGGTTGGCAAAAGTGTGATACGATTGAAGTATAGAAAAAAACGCAAAAATGATTGAAAAAGATAAGAGTTATCTTAATTGATACCGACAATGAGTCACATCACAACAAAACAATCACGGCTCTACTTTCTAATAGTTTACAAATGGAACGTCGGAGAGCGCTGCAGTAGAGGATGGCGCCAATGGAGCATCGAGATAGCTGTTGATTGGCTGTTGTCCTATATTATGAATAACCCCGCCAATTTTTGAATTTGCGGGAGTCTCCCCGTAAGTCCGCATTGGTATCCTCAGGTTCTGAAGAAACCTTAAATAACTTTTAAAAATAACTTTTGCAAAATAGTATCACTTGAAAGTTGAAAGACGGCAGCAGTGTAGTAAAATTCGAAGGTTTTAACTGATTTTTTACAGTATGACTGCAATGCAAAAAAAAAAACGTTCATTTTCAACCGTTCGCTGGCTCACAGTTGAAAATAGTAGTGGTTGTTATGCTGTGATTTATCACAGGTTAACTTAAGTAGGCGTTATTTCCCTAAACTCTCTGTATCAAAATTAAAAGCACCACTGATTTTTTACAGTATAATCTGAAAAAAAAAACGTGATTGGGTGAGTACCCGCGTCGTCAAGGGAGAGAAGTTTTAAAAAAAAAAAAAAAAACATCAATCCCTGCTCTGCTCCTGCTACCCTGCTACCCTCTCCTCCTATGCAGCTACCTACTTGCTGTACTTCATCGAAATCGCAGTGTATCTAAGTGTGATTAATCGAGTGACCGACCACCGTGTGCACTGTGCAAGCTTTTTAATCATTAATTTTTATCGCATTTTAAATCCGCAGTTCTGGGGTGAATCGTTTTTTTTTTTTACTTTCAGCGATTAATTTTTGGAGATAACCATAAATAAAAAAGTGCAGTCACAGTGATCGATCTCTGGCTACTCAAAATTCACAGTGATTTATGATCGTGGTCACAAGCTTAGGTATGAGACGGATGGCGATTTTTTCGAATAAATCGATTTCGGGAAAAAATCGATGCGATTTGAAAATCGGATGGAAATAATCGTTTTTAAAACACTGAAAAATCCAAGTTCAGCGTCAAAAACATAACTACTACTAATACTGAAATTGAAATGAAACTCGGACTTCGTAGAACGTAGGCTTTATGTGACACATTAACGTAGGAAATTGCGATTATTATTTTTTTTTTTCTTCAGTAATACGATTTCAGCTCAAAAAATCGATTCCGTTTTACAATCGACCTCGAAAAACCGATTCCGTTTTAAAATTGACTTCGAAAAACCGATTCTAATTTTTTTAATCGACGGCAAAAAACCGATCCGATTTAATCGATTTTTCCGATTAAAAATCGCCATCCCTAGCGAGTATTAGGGGAGCAGAAGTCAGTGGCAGGTGAACCTGTTCCTGGTGAGTGGTGATGCTGCGCTGGCTGGTTGAACGTTGAACCGTGTCGCGAACTCTCTCAACATCTCGTCCAATGGGCACGGACCAAGCGAATACATATTTATTCTCAAATGATTTATTCGTTAATTATTTATCCTCTATCTATCATTTATTCTCTAGTATTCAATCATTTGATCTCAATATCTTTTCTCCAATTATTTATTCTTTTGGTCCATGCGCCATAAGGGGACGCCAATTGTGAGCCAGATATATAAATTTTCGATGTATATTTCGTCAAATCGGATCCGGATACTGTTGAGAAGCAGCAGGTCGCGTCGTATCGATGCAGTGACCGAGTATTGACCAATGATCGATCCTAGTTAGCATATTGATCTGTGATTCGACTATCTTGGCTGAACAGGGAGTGGATGATGTAATAGGATGAAGGACCCATTCATTCCTTCTCATGACAAATGAGTGAACTTAGCTCTATTAACTTCCGTGGTTTCGAATATTTCATTCCATAAAGACATCTTGTGAATATTGTTTAATTGCGTCTGTATATTTTTCTTATCTTGGTGATCACTTTATTGGTGAGGTATACAAAATAGTTTTATTATAGTATAAATAGTATATTCGACTTCTAACCGCAAGGATTTTTAATTTTAAATAAAATATATTTTGATAACATTCTATCTACAGCTTTATTTTAGTCAGTTAAGTCACAGTTAACTCATTGATTTTATTTCACGTTTTGATCAATATGAAATTTACATGTAATCGAAACAGAAATCGCTCAAATTGTTTAATGTCAAGGTGAATTTATCATGAAAGTAAACAAACATCGGGCTAAATACCAAACAAATTGCTGAAATGATAGTTGAATTGATTTGTCGGCAGAAAATAGACCCGTTACGTCTGAAAACACATTTCAACTGGTTATCTCCGAAAAATCTCCATTCCCAAAACCTGACGTAAAGTCAAGCCCTTTGCCCCCCCCCCCCCCAAGGGCTCACATTATCAGTCAAAACATTTATTCATTTTTTTCACAACCATGACGTTTTAGCTTGCAACCGTCACCTTCCCAGTGGTTCGTTCCTTTCTGTCCTCCAAGAACTTAACCGCAGAAAACGCGCGGAACACCTTAGTGCGATTCTTGACCTTGTGACCGCCGTAGAAGAGCCGCTTAACCTCATCCATGTGGTCGAGCGCGTTGAACCTCGTCAACAGGTCCCGAATCTCGGCCTCTCGGAACCCATAAAACCTTCCGAAGGCATCGTCCTCGAGTACGGGCACGAAGGTTAGTTCGGGTATATCACGCGGCGCGATGAAATCCAACGCCGAGAACAACGAGTGACTCACGAACTTACTCGCAACCAGGTCCTTGACGAGGTATCTCAAGGCGCTCATGACGACTTTCTTGAACTTGTTGTCCTGCACAACCATCATCTCAGCCGCCGGCGCGTCGAAGTTGTCGATGAAAACCATGCAGCTCTCATTGAAATGGGTGGCTAATAACCGGGTCAAGACGCAAGGTCCGTAGGCGACGTCTTCGTCCTTCATGGGTGGCTTCGGGTGTCGGTAGTCGTTGAACTTGTCGAAGTCCTCCGGTTCGAGGATGTCCGAAGTCTTAAGGTAGTCGTGCTGGATGAAGAGGTTGAAGATGAGCTGCCGGAAGGAGTTGTAGAACCCGGCGTGGTCTGTGAGGTCCAGGTCGTGGAAGTCTAGATAGATGGCGGGATGGGCGGCGTAGTGCATGTGGCAGAAGTGCTTGTCCGAGCAGACGGCGAGTTCGTTGAAAGCGAAGAAGTCCCCGGACGTACGGTCGTAGATCTTACGGCCTTCCTGGTCGACAGGGATCTCGACGAACTTTCGGATCATCTCCAAGTTGAGGGATTTGCCAAACCGTCGCGGCGCTAGGGTGGCCAGGTGTTTCCTTTGCAAGATGAAGTGCTTGATCAACAGGGATTTGTCGACGTAGCCTCCGGAGCGCACCACCTCCTCGAAGGTCTCACGGTCGATGGTGCTTGGTTGCTGCGGGTCAAAGACGAGATGCACTGGTGTTAGGAAGGATGCTGTGGAATTAAGTGCAGTACTGCCATGCTCAGTAAAAACGCCGTATGAACCTCCAGGCGTTGCCAAATGTACTTTGATAAAGTGAGGATTGCCGGAAAGTCTTAAATATTTTTCTTCCAATTTTTCGAGATATCTTGTTCGCAAATGAACGTAAAATACCTGGAAATTTCATGCCAAAATATGCTTCTTCCAAAATTTTATGTCAGAGGAGATTTGGCAACATTTGAATGTTCTTACGGCGTTTTTCCTTACTGCAGAATACCTATGTTTGAATCCAGGCTCAATAATGCTCATCACCTAATGTTTCACTTCTTTGCTTGAACATTGAGTCCAATAGTTCCAAAGGGCCTTTTTTTTTATAAATTTTACTTAATTCTTTATCATGACAGAAAATAGAGTATTTTAGCTAAATTAGCTCAAAAATTTGTCAATGAGGAAAATCAATTGTCATAAGGGATGACGGCATGTATTGAAATATTGCCTTCACAATGAAACAGATTTTGTCGAGGAGGAACTTTGACTGTGTGAGTTTTCAATTGGAAAAATAAGAAAAAGGAATATTTATTTTTTATTACAGTGAAAAGTCAACATTTTATACAGGGTGATCCAAAAGTCCCTTCCACCCCCTCTAACTTTTTACCTAATTGAGATAAAAATTTGAAACTTGGGGGATATTCCTAGGTCAAAGGGAGCTACTTTTTGGCACCCCTAAAATGTTCAGGGGGGCCCCCCTTGGGGGGGCAACGGCCCCCACCTTTGAATTTTCAAATAGGAAGACCCCCTTTGTGATAGCTCGTTCGAAAGAGCATAAAAAAAGAAAACTTTTCGCGCAAACCCGAAGTCAATATCTCAAACCGTTTCAAAATGGCGGCCGGTTAAAGTTCAAAATG